AAACAAAGAAATGGTCAATTAGCTCGCTCAAAAAAAAAAAATCAGTCATATGTCATCAAAAATATTTCAAGTTGTAAACTTGTTTAATCATTAACAAAACTTAATATTGCAAAAAAGTACATGGCTGAAATGAATTACTTCAGGTTTTTTTTTTTAGCTTTAAGAAAACAAGCTAGTTTCATATACCTTTATCTACATGTAATACAACTCCTGGAGGTGTAGATGACAGGTGTGGATGAGGATGTTGACGAGCTCCTGTAACTAAAACAGGATCATAAGAGTGACATCTATTAAAGTGAAACTGAAAGTTTGAATGTCCAGTATGATCAGCATCTTGAGACTTACATCGACGCTGTAGGTAGTAGTGAGATGGTGTTAGCAGTTGACTAAATGAAATATCCTAGAAAATGTCAAGTTACACATTTCTAAGTTTTGATGCATGTAAAAGTACAAAACATATAAAACACATACATAAATTTACAAAATTATTCATATATTACAAGTCTTACTCAGAGCTGAATCAACACTGTTGTTTGATAATAGTCAAATCAATCAATCATGGTGTCCTCCCAAATTATGAGGATTGAAAACTATGTTTTGCTACTGACCTCTATTCTTTGCTGCCTACATTCACTATTCTAATTCAATATCCTCATATACAGCCTATTCTCTAATGTTATCGAGACAAGAGTCCTTGCCTTCCTCTCACTCTTTTTCTTTCAATCATATTGCAATTTCTTCCATCTTTCTTTCAGACCAAATTATACAAACAGCAATTGTCTTTTATCTATCAACATTCCTGTACCTCCTCCCCTAGGTTTTCTTTGATTGATAATAAACATTCTCTAAAATTGCTATCAATTATACATCACGATTTTCAAACCCTTCTTTGACAAAAAAACAACAACAAAGATTCAACATTTAAGCAAAATTTTATAGGTTTCATGGTGTTATCCGACACACGTTCCTTCCTATACAACTAATTTCATTATTATAAAGTGTTGATAAAAAGTGTGATTAAACAGGGAACAGGACATTTTTGAAGTGAAGTAAGAGATATGATCTCATTTGTATTATTTTACATTAAACACCATTGACAAATTTTCTTTTCAAATACTCAATTTTTCCCCTTTCTTAATAAGATTTTAAAATAATAATTTTTTTTGCTACAATTTTTTAAAGAATTAAAGTAAAAATCTGAACAAACCTGCCCATCTTCTGGTTTTTCAAAGCCCATTAAACTAAGCAAGTCTATTTGTTCAGGACTATCAGTAATAACTGACAGCTGCCGAGTTCCTGATATCTGCCGTTTTCTGCCACCATCCTGCTTTGAATCTCCTCTGAAAAGAATAAATATGCATTCATCTCTAGATCAACTATAACAGTAATAATTTATATGTAATTTTCTTTCCTTTCTATATACATAAATCATTGTTGATTAATATTTTTAAATATGTACTGTAAGTTTGATCTAAAAAATAATATATCAAACATATAACAACAAAAATTCCTTAAATATCTGTTGAAATATTATATAAAGCTAAACCTCTTAAGAGTAGGTGATAAAAACAGCATTCTAAGTATTTTTATTTCACTTTCCAAGCCTAGCCAGCTAAAAAAAAACATGAAAGTAACTTATTACTTATTTTAACCATTTCTGGACCAGAGGGGTGTCACTGATATTGATTCCTTGATTTTTTCCTTCTCACAGTGGAAATATTTAACCAAACTGAACAATACTTAGTACACACTTAGTAAAGAAATCTAATTTTGGCTTTAAAATATTCATACAATTTGATTTAGTTTTTTTATAAATTTTTTAGGTAGTGAAGTTTCCAAAATTTTGTTGCGAGGTCCATTTTTTGAAAAAAATAAAGTATTTCCTTTCATCTTAAAATGTAATTTTTTTTTATATTATTGATCACAAAATTCCATTTTATATATCCATTCAGTTTCAACTTGATTGATACTTGTTGACATTATTTAATTTGATATTTTATGTTGCCAATTGTAGTAGTCACCACTTCTAGCTATAAAAAAATCAATGCAAAGCGTGACAAACATTTATTAGTGACCTAGCATCTGACCTTTCAAAATAGTACCACTAACTTTTCAATGAATATTAAATTGTTTTTTTGTGAATATTATTTGAATAATAATAACTTAATAATGTTCAATAAATAAGGATTTGAGTCACTGGTATACTTTTGTTTTTGTATACCATACTTGTTAAACTTAACTATGCTCACCCGATGTTTTATAGTAGAAAACGATTTATGTAGCTAACAAATAAATATAATTTAACATGAAAACATTTTCAGGAACAAAAGAACATCTATAGAAATGATAAAAAAAGCACAGTTATGTGGTTTGTACCTAAAAAATCTAAATTTCTCACCACTTTATTTACACTACATAAATAAGTTATAATCTGCTCTATCCAATCATATTTGAATATTGTCTGCAGCTATTTTTAAAGCTGTTCATTAGCAACCATTCAGATAAAATAATACGACATTTAAAAGGATTGGAACTAAGAGTAGTAGTAATAAACCCACTAAGAGAATAGAAATCCCATAAGAAACAAAACATGGATAAATATTCTTAATGGATGACAGTTTGTTAGCTAATATAAATCTATGATTTGGGATGAGCAAGGAAATAAAAAAAACATTCATAAACACAGATGAGACTCCTCACAGATGTGCAGAAATGAAGATTGAATTTAAAAAAAAATTTCTTTCCATATTTCACTAAATTAATTACACATAATTTCAAAATATCAATTTTAAAATATTTTCAAACTAAAATGTTTTTAAAACAGAGATAGAATTATTATTTTTAATTTAATTTCAAAATTTATATGCACGTGTTCACTTGAAACTTGAAAAGAACTCTATGGTACAAATGGGGTTAAAAAAACACCAACAGATTTGTAATATACATTATAATAAAGAACCAAATCATTTGCTTAAGATGAGTCATAGTTAGATATTGCAAATGTTATCAATATTGGTGTCAATATTTAGTAAACAAAAAATATAAGTGTTTATAACTGAACATCCAGTATGTGAGCTGATGAGACTAAGTTTGGAAGATTGAGTGGGCTACACAGGGATGTCGTGGTTTTCTGCATTTAAGTTGGAACAAAAACAAATTTACTCTGATGAAGAGCTCAATCTTTTAACCTCAAAGAAAACTCACTTTACTGCTAAAATAACTCATCTATCAATACACAAAATAGCAGAAGCGATTATGTTTAGGCAGATACTACACTCAGCCAAGTTAGCTTCATTGAGCCTTCCTCAGCCACCTTTATCAACACAACTCACAAAAACTGTGAGGAAAAATGGCTTTATGGAATTGAAGAACCAGATCTTGTATTGTGCAACATGTGGTCACTAACACATTTTGTGTGAGAACTTGGATGGGATATGTTTTTTTTATTGCTCCATTAGCTGGAAACTAGTGTGAACTTGGCCATATTGGTGGTAAATTCAGATTACAGATATTACAAGAAATTCAAATCTCAATTCAAAATTTAAAAAGAGGGAGAAACTGGTGGAATGCTTTGTTTGGGAATCAACTCCATCAAACATGTTTCCCTGACTTAAAAGCTGGGTGTTAATAATACAAAAATTAAAGAAATACCCAAACTTACCGGGTGATTCCATGACTAGTTCGACGACTGTATGGTAAAGATGAAAATACAACAATAGGAGCTTTTTGTGAAGAAACCAGGACAACCCTAGCATGAAATAAAAAATATAAAAAAAACAATGAGATACAATAAGTTTACATTTCAGGAAAGGAATGACACTGTCACGGAATAAATATAGGTATTAAGTGTTCTTATGGAAGCTGATTAAACTTCAACTACGATGAGTGTCTTAAAAAAGTATATACCTAAAATGCTATTGGTTGTGCATAGAAGAATATTTAAAATTTCTGAAGAAATAAATAACATACCTTAAAAAAGTATATACCTAAAATGCTATTGGTTGTGCATAGAAGAATATTTAAAATTTCTGAAGAAATAAATAACATACCTTTCATCTTTTATGTGCTGTCCTTTGGGATTCTTTAGGTAACTAACTTCCACACCAGAGCCAGAGGAATCAGATAAACTAGTAGAAGTCTTCCGGCTGTGGCTAATGCTTGCACCTGAAAAGATCCCTGTGTCCAAAGAAAACTTATTAAAACTTTCAAATTGATAACACTTGTATCTGAACAACCCTAACTGTTAGAAAACTGTTAAAGAAGATAGCATTTTACTGTTTCAGGTGTGCTTACACATGTCCCCTAATTAATATTATGCTTAAATTAACATTGCTATAATATTAAAAACAAATAACAATAAACCACTTTGCAATATACATAATTAATGCAAATTCTGACAAACACATTATAAATTTCAAAGACATTTTGCTAACTGTAGCACACTAAAACATGTGTCCTCTCACTTAACCTTAAATGTTACCCACATACCCAATTTGTTTTCATTAGCACCCTCATATTTCTTCACATTTTTGCTTACTTAGAATTTTATCCTCTTAAAATCAGATCTTTCAAAAATTAATATGCTAAGTTTGATGAAAAATTAGATATCTTGCACATGAATATCAACAACTCATTGTATTAATATTTACTGAAAGGCTGTCTATCTTCCAGCATGAATAATCACATTCTAGTAAAATATACACAAAATCATAACTGTGAAAATGATCAGTTATTAGTAAAATATTAACAACTGCCACTGAAATGATTAAACTTCTGTTGGAAGAAATATGTAAATTGTTTAACATTTTATGTATATCACTTCAAAGAATACTACTAAAACAACAAACACTAGTTATTTTGTTATATTTAACACAAAACTACATAATGGACTATCTGCACTCTGTCACTATGAGTGTGACATAGTCATCTTCTAAACTTACATTAGACCTTAAATAAAGTCAATGGTGAAGGAAGTGAGTTCACTTCTTAAGTCATTGCAAGTTGCCACACACATCTGATGCATAAAACCCACAGTAGTTAATCAGCGGCTGTAGCGAAATAACTTCAGAAAAAATGGCTGATCCACTAAGTAATATTATTATGTATGAGTTAACATAAAACCAAAGTAAAAGTAAAGAAGGAAACCAAGTGAAAAAAAAATTTTGAATTAAACAAACAAATCCAAAGAACTTTGAAAATCATAAACATAGGAAGCTGGTTTAAAACTAGTCTGAAATATATTTATTATTAACAAAATCTAATAATTTTGTTGTATGGCAATTTACTGCAGTATACAAGTGTTCAAGTTTGTAGAAACATTAAAGTAGGAAATAAAGTAATTTATTACCATTACATGGACTGAACGTGGAGTTATTCTCACCATTTAATTTTTAAAAAACCACCAGTTACAATGTTTGGTGTCAGAAGTGGGGGTATTTTGGTGGAAATTAAATAAGATTTTGAATATATTTAAAATAGAACTGTAACTGTTGAAGACGATGACCATAAGGTCAAGTAGTGAAATTCAAACATTAGTTGAGATGAGATGATAAAATTAAAACAAGATCAAGAAAAATGTGATAGGAAATTAAAAGAAGACCGGGAAGAACGAGACAGAAGATTAGAAGAAAGAGACAGAAAAATTAAAGAAGACTAAGAAGGAATTTTGAGAAAACTGAAAGATGATCAAGATGAATGTGACAGAAATTTAAGACAAGAATTTTAAAAAATAAAAAAGACATAATACATAAAGAAGAATTAAAATAAAAATTTGATTGAAGACAAAACCGTTGAAGCTAAAGGGGATGTACAGAAAGATTGCAACAACAGATTTTAAGAACTGCAGAAGGACATCAGTGAAGTACAAAAGGACACTGCAAAGTCAAAAGCAAAGTAGAAAAGAGCATCATAAGAGGTAGACATCAGCGACAGAATAAAGCACCTGAAAAACAAATTATTAAATGTAAAAACTAAACCAGCCACACCTCTTTCTGCAACCAAAAACATCATCTAGACCATATATGCAATAGGCGAGCTTAATTGGTCTACACCTATTCGCACTAACTGCTGTGCTACTTGTTACTAAAAGACCTTCCTGGACTACTTCAACCATGACTATACCACATTTACTTCCAGAATTTAACAGGCCACTTTGATATCAGCCAACAGAGAAACCAATGGCCTATGAAGGGAAGGTAGCATAATAATCAAACCAGGCCCAGTCTCAAATAATTTCATAATGAACAATGGTATAGTGAACAATAAGCCATCCATCTGAGAAATGTAACAACTATCAATCTTTATTCAAAATATTTGGAGTGCTGCACCAGAAAGAAATATCCAGAACAAAGTTCCACAATAGGGTACAAAGGAAAGAAATTTGTGGAAGATTTGAAAAGGCTTACCCAATTATCTTATCTGGACACTCCTAGTGTAATCATGGACTCATTACTATATGACAAATTTATATACGCCATAACTGATGAGGATATGAGAATTAAGCTGAAGCAAAGTAGGTGTTTCTCATTAAAGGAAGCTCTCCAGGTGATGGAAAAAGAATCTTTTAAGATCACAGATAAGCAATTAAAGAAAACCATATTGAAGTTATGGGATCATCAGCTTGAGTAGTATTGAAACATCGACTTCCACCGATGACAGTTTGAAAAAAGGATTAATTAAATAACAAGTGACACAGAATGAAGGGAATAAAGTATAAGACAATAAGTGTTTCAAGTATAACTTGAAAATACATTTTGCTAAAAACTGCAAACAAAAGCTTGTAGGGACTAAGAGCTCCTCACAAAGATGACAAAAAGTATACATGCCAAGATTGTGAGGAATTAACAGTTGTTTAGACACCAAGGAGACAATACCCCAAGGATGAGTCTTGGAGCTCAACCAGATCAAATGAACAACCAAGGGCTAGTCATACATTGGGAAACAGAGAACAGCTGGACTTAAGGGAAAAAAAATCAGCTGAAAATACTTCATCTGCTCCAAATGAAATAAAGTTTGTTGTTTAAAGAAAGTAGTCAATTTGTTGGTGGGAAACCTTGCAGTACGTTGATCGACACTGATTCTACAGATATAACAGTTTGACCAGATTTGATAATGAAAGTTGGGAAACTGCCTCCAGATATGAAGAAAAAAGAGGGAGTGATGCAAACAGCAAGTGGACATAAAGTTGCAGAAAGAGAAAAGTTAAAAGTTACCATTATTGTAGGAAACTCCTCAATACCTCATGATATGTGGGTAATCAAAATAAAGGAAGAGTGCAAACAAGGAACCGACTTCCTGTGCATTACATGATTATTCCTACAAAAAAAGGTTAAACTTCTCATGACAACAAGAAGAGTATTCATTGTATCATCAAGAAGTGAAATACTCATAACAAGACTTATCAAAAATAAAATTGTATCTAGTGGCTAGGCTGTAATAGACCAAACACTGAAGTATATCCTAATGAATTAACGGATGGTAGAACTCTTGTGGATCTACGGAGAACATCAAAGATGTCATCATAAGGGCCAAGAATACAACAAATCAGAAAATCTGAGTCAAATCTAGATGGGGCATTGCAAGATGCTAGACTACACATTGAAAAACATAAGTAGTAGTCACATTTGAGGAAAAAGTAGGAAGTCTGATGTCAATCCCTTACATAAGGACGGCTTATCATCTCACTTACAAGATTTGTATGACCAGAGCTGTGGAGGTCTTACAACAGATTAGTGCTGGCAGTTATATATCTTGCTCATGGAATATGAAGATACTTTCTACAGTGAACCTCATGACTTAGGCTGAATGAGTAAAATACCTCACAACATTGATACTGGAGATTCAGCTCCAACATGTCAGTTAGCCAGAAAACTTCCACTTGCAAACAGGCTGAGGCTTTCAAAGAGATAGAAGCCATAAAGGAACAAAGAGTAATAGGACAGGGCACTATTCCTTGGGCATCACAAATTGTACTGTGAAAAAGAAGGATGGATGTACAAGGTTCTGCATAGACTTCCAGAAGGTGAATGAAGTCACAAAGAATGATATCTACCCACTACCAAGGGCTAACTCTACTTTGGATGCTTTATATGAATCAAAATCATTTTCAACATTGAATCTTAAGAATAGGATTGACAGGTGGAAATCAACAAAGTAAAGAGAAAACAGCCTTAACCACAGGAAATGGATTGTGGTACTTCGTTATATTACCATTTGGATTATGTAATACTCCTACTATATTCCAATAGTTAATGGAGTGTGCTTCGTCTGAACTATGCTGGAATGTTGTACTCATCTACTTGTATGATATAATCACACAAGGGAAGACCAATGATAATACTCATAAAGGGCTAAGAAAAGTTCTGGATCAGTTGAAGAAAGAAAACCTTAAGCTAAGTCCCATGAGGTGTGTATTATTCTATCAACAGTCAAGTTTCCTTGGACACATAGTCAGCAGAGACTGACTGCCTGAAACCAACCAACAACAAAGAGTCTTTAGGAGGTAAAAAGATTTCTACCACTGTGCTCTTACTATTGTTGTTTTGGAAGATATTTTTCTGGCAAAGCTCATCCTTTGCACAAATTACTTCAGAAGCCAAATAAGCTTTGTTGGACTGCTGCTTGTGAACAAGCATTTAACAAATTGAAGAAGGAATTTACTACTACTCCTGTACCGGTATATCAAACTCTGGAAGATCCACTCACTTTAAATATAGAAGCCAGAGATTTTGCAATGAAAGCACTTTAATCACAAGTGCAACACGGAAACAAAAAGTCTGCCTACTATAGCAAGGCAATGAATGTTCCAGTAAGGACGTATTGTACAAGTTGAAATGAGCTACTAAGTATTGCTTGAGCCTTAAATCACTTTCATCATTACCTATATGGACAGATTATACAGTTTTGAAGTGGCTGGCAAATTGTTGTAATTAAGAAGGACAAATAGCAAGATGGCTCTGAAAACTTCAGAAGTACAACTTTATAATCATACATCATCCTATATGGTTTGTTTGTTTGTTTGTTTAGAATTTCGCGCAAAGCTACACGAGGGCTATCTGCGCTAGCCGTCCCTAATTTAGCAGTGTAAGACTAGAGGGAAGGCAGCTAGTCATCACCACCCACCGCCAACTCTTGGAATACTCTTTCACCAACGAATAGTGGGATTGACCGTCACATTATAACGCCCCCACGGCTGAAAGGGCAAGCATGTTTGGTGTGACGGGGATTCGAACCCGCAGATTGCGAGTCGAGTACCCTAACCACCTGGCCATGCCGGGCCTCATCCTATATGGAACAGTGGAAATGTTGACACAATGTCCAAAGAACTTGTGTTAATGAAGAGTGTAAACACTGTGAGGAGAGAAAAGACAACCAACCTAATATACAGCAAGTACAGCCCAGAATGTAGCATCCACTAGTGATGACAAAGAATTGATGTGGTTCAACACCCAACTGGAAACTGCTTAGGCAAAAGATAAGCCCTTGAAACCAATTATTCAGTGGCTCAATGATAGTACAGAAAAGCCCTCATGGTAAACAGTCACTCCATACAGCCATAAACATGTATTGGGTATGGTGGGATCCCTTATGCTTACAAAATAGCTCATATTATGTCAGGAATGTGAAGATACCAGTGGACAAAAACAACAACTACAGTTGGTACTTCTCCAATTGTGTTGGACATCAAATAAGGAAATAAAGCAATTCATTATTTTTACACAGACTAGACATTATTTTCTCCAAATGATTTAAAACAACCCATCAATCAATGAATGATGTTATTGCAATATTTATTGAAACAGCAGAGATCTGTAACTTTCTGTCAATGAAAGAATGATGTATATTATATAGAAAACATTAATAATAGAGTCAACAAAATACTTTTGAATGTTAATTGCATTTATACTTTAACACAGTGACATGAGCAGATATCTTTTCTCACATATACAAGTTTAAAGGAGGAAAAGAGAAATAATTACTACACTTTATATTTTATCATACAAAGGGATTGATGTCAATATTTACCCTTTGAACACAAAATACCATTTTGCAAACTACAGGTGTACAAAAAGTTAACAATTACACAGGTTTATAACCTGTTTTCATTCCTACCTATACTTTCTGAGCTTTCACTTGTTGCAAGTTTATGCTGCTCCTGCAAAGAGGTCTGATGAACAAGCTGTTTCTTGCGCTGACTGAATGAAGCAATTCTGGCTCGTGTTTCAACAATTATACCCGAAACCCTAAAATAAAAAATATATTGTACTCAATAAATCAGTCAAGGAAAAAAAGGCAAGTTGAGATATGTAAGACCTACTTCAATTAAAAATACTTATGTATTATGATTAATTAGATAGTAATTTTTAAGTAGAAAGAGTCATTAAACACTAACACATAGTTGTATGAAGTTAGTGAGTGGTAAAACATAAACACTTATTTATTTATAAACATTAATAGAACAATTTTGAAAATATTACAAAATATGTCAACAGAAATTTGTTGTTTAAATAAATTATCAGTCCTATCTAGTGTTGACTGTTATGCTTCACTTGGAACACTGTACAGTTTGGTCTGCTTATCTAAGAAATGATACTGATTTATTGGAAAGGATTAAGAATAGGGGATACTAAGATAATTGTCCTAATTTAGTTTCTCTTTAGAAAAGAAGGTAAGAGGTGAACTTACTGATTTTAAAAGATTAGATAGGATCAAAAGAAAAAGGTCTAATTTGTTGTGCATATTTTGAAGACAATAAGATAAGAAGACAGAAGTTTAAGAACTGGGAGAAGCAGGCTAGACACCTGTTAAGACAGTTTTATTTTTCCAACAGGGTGATTGGATATTGGAACAAGTTACTGTCACATTAGTGCAGGCTTGCATTTTATAAAAGTTTAAAAGAGGAATAATAATTTCCTGAAAAGTAAGGTTGGGTTTAAGTTTTTAACTTAAAAAAAAGGGGAGTGGTGTGAAGGGATAACCTTGAGGACAATATATGCTTTTCCAGAGAAATCTATTATTTAAATTTACTTGTTCAAATGAATAATTTTGCAGTTTTTAGACTCATCTATTTTTCAAGCTAGCACCCCTTATAAATTGAAATGTTTCACCTCATATAAAAGTTGAAAACTTAAATTGTTGGGTTTCAAATAACAACATATGTATTGCAACAAAAACATGAAACATTGAAATATGGCAATATACATAATTTTTTCTACACTTTATAGTAAATGTAACATATACAAATAATGTGAATATGGTTCCTCCCCAAAAAACTAGAACTTAGTTTAATTGCATTAGTCAGCTTATGTTTTATAAAACAAACATAAAATCATACACTAAATGAAGTATTAGAAAAGGCAATTTTTTAATGGCTAACTTACTTACAGAATTGTCCATCATGTCTCCAATTAATATCCATAAATGGGGATTAAGGTATAGAAAGTCAACAGTCAATGCTCTTAAAGAACTTGGAAAGCAAACAATTATTAAAAGATAAGATTTACCTGTAGCTTTTGCAATTAGATTAGCATTTTTTTATTTGCACAGATGAGTAACATTGACAATAAACAACTGACAAAAGCAACGTAACTACATAAACTTCAGCTATTTGAAGTGTTTCAAACTACACAGTAACAACAGAACTCTTAAAAATCTACCAATCAATTACATAATTTTCATGGTCCTTTACATGTAAGTATATAAATTTAATAACATTAATTATAAAGTTTTACTTCCAAATGATACAGTTAAGCTGTAAACTATCATTAAATAAAAAGTAATAAAACTAAATTATCAAGTAAATTTAGTTTTAATTATTTATTTGTTAAATGGATAATACACTCCTGCATACAAAAGAAAAAAAAATGTTTCTCTTAATTCTGTCTTAAGTTACCCATCTTACTGTATCAGTCAATCGCTAGTGGATGATTAACATTGTACTTAACAGATGACATCACTCCAACTAAATCTTTTGATTTGCCCAAGTTAAGCATACATAAACTCAAAATGGATTGTCTTGCACAGTCTGTGTTAACTTGCAAGTTACAGATGTGTGCTACATGCGCTTTTATGGAAGAATAGTCTAAGATGCCGTGAACATTTCTGATGAATTCCATAAAGAGAGTACATGCTTAGCATTGAAATACGTTTTAGTACCACTCAAGGTATAAAGAACTCTCGAAGGATTATTGGTTTAGTCTGGTTGTTGTCAAGCGCAAGGGTATAGAAACTTGATTTTTAGCGTCATGATCCTGCTGACTTATCGCTGAGCTACTGGAAGTGTATGGGAGATTATTAAATAAATACGCCTTACGCAAGAAGAATAGGGGCCTAAACACATTTATTGGCTTTTCATCCAGGCTTTTTGCTTTTCTTTTACTTCACTATCAAGAAGTCTCTGTAAATGTTTCTACAGTGTGTTTTTTGATGCAACACTTGATGTGAAAAGTTAAATATTCACGTTTATGTATACATAAATAATAGCATATTATGCGAGTTAATCTTGATTTCTTTAAAGTTCTTCATCTGTGTATTACTATACGATTTATCCTTTATCAATTTTATAAACGCGAAATATTGGCCAGGCGTAACCCCGTGATTATTGTTATAGACTGCGAATCCGGGGGTCCATGGATCGCACTCCGCTCTTTAGGGCCTTGGGTACGTTATAAGAGTGACGGCCAAATCCCACTATTCGGTCACACAAGGTTATCTCAAGAGGTGGCAGTGGATGTTGTTGACCAGCTACCTTCCCGCTAATCTACAAGTTCAAACAAGGAATGTCTAACGCAGATAGCCATTGTGTACCTTTGCACAAATATCCAAAACAAAACAAACAACGCCACCTTTATTCTCAAATCGTTATTTGTTCAGCACGCAATTCGGTAGTTCATTATGGTATCTACTGCAAATAGTTTAAGTACAGCGTGACTGAGTATAATTGTTATATAAGTATAACTATGTAGTATAAGACAATTTAAATTGCATTTTAAGGTACTAATAGTAATTATCTGACTCAGAAGTGCAATATGGAAATATAAACGCCTTGCATTCCAGAGACAAAAAACTGACAAAACGTTTTGTTTTCTTTTGTTTCAATTTTTTTTCGCAAATGGCTGTCTGAACATGACCACCCCTACTTCTGAACTCTTAGAGGGAACTAAGCTAATGAACAGCATCTACCGCCGACTTTTGGGTTATTCGCATTTCGTCGAATGGTGGAAATTAACTGTCACTTTTACTCTATACGGTCCCAAAATGGGAGGCACGTTTTTGTTGTAATGTGTTACAAAACACGAACCTTAGAATTTAAGATCCTAGCACATTACTTACAAAACAGATCACGCCCAAAATATCCGGTAGAGCCAGATCAATTCTCCAAATTGTCTCTTAACAACATAGCGACTGTTACGAATAGTTTTCAAGGAAAGAAATACGAAAAAACAAGTAAATCTGCAATGTTTTTTAACAACTCGAATTAACTAAATTGTAATATTATATCTAAATAATGCAGATACCGACAATAAAATGTTCCTAGTTCTAACCCTTACATTACAGTTGTTGCGTCAGCGAGGTCACGTGTGTAGTGT